TCCAGCTGGAGAAGCGTGCCGACAACCAGTTGATTGCCAAGGCTCAGCAGATTTTCAGTGGGGCAGATGACAATGTCACCGTCAAGATGCGCATCCACAATGAGGAGAGAGCCTTTGGTTCTACTTTGAGCTACCATATTGCCTGGTGGGTTATTGGTTGTTATTTCTAAAATTTAGATTGTTTTTGGGATGGCTATTATCTATTATTATTTAATTAGTCTCCAACTGCCAAGAGTTTTCTTTTAATTTAAAGCAGAAGTCACCTTTGTTTGCACATACAAAAGAGATCTAATATATCTTAAGTCTTTAGAGTATTCTTTGTATTCTTTTTCTTTCCATTTATCTATTTATTTTTATTTTAATTATATTTAAATATTTTTAAGGAGGATCTTTAATTATTTATTTATTATAATATTAATTGTAAACTAATTGCATATTCCTTTTCTGTTTTTAGCAAATATGGTGAGGCTGGTTTGCCCGCTGGCAAGAGCATCGACATCTTCCTGGAGGGCTCTGCTGGCCAGAGTTTCTGCGCTTTCCTTGCCCGTGGAGTCAACGTGACCCTCAAGGGCGATGCCAACGATTATGTGGGCAAGGGTCTGTGCGGTGGCAACGTGGTCATCACTCCGCAGGACACGGCTCCCTTCGAGTCGCACCTCAACGTGATCGTGGGCAATGTCTGTCTGTATGGAGCCACCGAGGGAACCGCCTACTTCCGGGGAATCGCCTCCGAGCGCTTCTGTGTGCGCAATTCCGGAGTAACTGCCGTGGTGGAGGGAGTTGGCGATCACGGTTGCGAGTACATGACCGGTGGTCTGGTGGTGATCCTTGGCCTGACGGGACGCAACTTTGCCGCTGGAATGTCCGGTGGCATTGCCTACGTTTATGACTTGGATGGCTCCTTCAAACCAAAGGTTAATCCCGAAAGTGTGGAGCTGCTGCCGCTGGAGATTGAGGAGGATGTGCAGCTGGTCAAGAATCTGTTGGCCGATTTCATCGAGAAAACTGGTTCCAAGGTGGCCAAGGAGTTGCTGGATAACTGGGCCGAAGCCCAAGCCAAGTTCGTGAAGGTCTTCCCCTACGAATACCAGAAGGCTCTCAAGGATTTGGCCGAGCAGCAGGCGGTGGAGCAGCCCCTCAAGTCCGCCATCGAAAATGGAAACGGGAAGCACGAGCCGCACATCAAGGACATCGAGGAGTCCATCCAGGATGTGGCACTCGAGCAGAAGCGCGCCGATCGCGTGCTGGACAAGACCCGTGGCTTTGTGAAGTACAAGCGGGAGGCGGCTCCCTATCGCGATGCTGGCGAGCGGCAGAAGGATTGGGATGAGGTCTACAACTTCCCGCATGTGAGGAAGAACCTCAAGGTTCAAGCTGCTCGTTGCATGGAGTGCGGTGTACCCTTCTGTCAGTCCAATTCGACGGGCTGTCCGCTGGGCAACATCATTCCCAAGTGGAACGACCTCATCTTCCACGGCGAGTGGCAGGAGGCACTGCGTCAGCTGCTGCAGACCAACAACTTCCCCGAGTTCACCGGTCGCGTGTGTCCCGCTCCCTGCGAGGGATCCTGTGTTTTGGGCATCTCGGAGCCGGCGGTCACGATCAAGAACATCGAGTGCGCCATCATCGATCACGCCTTCGAGCAGGGCTGGATCAAGCCGGAGATTCCAGAGGTTCGCACCGGCAAGCGGGTGGCCATCGTGGGTTCCGGTCCCTCGGGTTTGGCTGCATCCCAGCAGCTCAATCGCGCCGGCCACTTCGTCACCGTATTCGAGCGAAACGATAGGGTTGGTGGACTTCTGCAGTACGGCATTCCCACGATGAAGCTGTCCAAGGAGGTGGTCAAGCGGCGGGTGGACCTTATGGCCGACGAGGGCATCGAGTTCCGCACCAATGTCCACGTAGGCAAGGACCTCAAGGCCGAGCAGTTGCTGCAGGAGTAAGTGTAATTATAAGATTTAAGCAAAGCCTGTTTAAAATTCATAAAATTCTTTAAGTGAGCCAAAATGTATAAAGCTTTATTGCCATATTTTTGATAAATTTTAATTAGTGAGGGTATCTTAGAAAGTAACTTAAACCAAGCACCATCTTAAATCAATTTTCCATATCACACTAAATAACTTAAATCAAACAGTAAATATAGTTTAATTAATATTACCCAAAATCAGAACTAGATTACTTTGAAGCACATGGAAAGCAGATATTCAGAGAATTTCTCAAATTTTTTTATGGTAAAAAATTAATTAAAGAAAAATTCGAAGCGGAGTAAATTTTCAAAATCTCTAAAAGGTTTTTAAAAACTAACTAAAATTGGGTTATTAGCGAATTCTTAAACTCCCTTTGAACAATTCTATATTGATGTATTTCCTAAACTTATTTTCCTATTTTACCCTCAAGGTACGATGCCGTCCTCCTGACCACCGGCTCCACTTGGCCCCGCGACCTGCCGCTGGCCAACCGCGACCTGAAGGGCATCCACTTCGCCATGGAGTTCCTGGAGGCGCAGCAGAAGAAGCAGCTGGGCGGCAAGCAGGACATCATCTCGGCCGCCGGCAAGGATGTGATCATCATCGGCGGTGGCGACACCGGATGCGATTGCATTGCCACATCGCTGCGTCAGGGCGCCAAGAGCATCACGACCTTTGAGATCCTGCCTGAGCCGCCGCAGAAGCGTGCCGAGGACAACCCATGGCCACAATGGCCGAAGGTCTTCCGCGTCGACTACGGCCACGAGGAGGTGAAGCTCAAGTGGGGCAAGGATCCGCGGCAGTACTGCACCACCACCAAGGAGTTCGTGGGCGAGAACGGCGCCATCAAGGGCGTGAACACCGTCGAGGTGGAGTGGACCAAGACGGAGACGGGCCAGTGGCGCATGCAGGAGGTGGCCGGTTCGGAGAAGTACTTCCCGGCCGACCTCATCCTGCTCGCCATGGGCTTCCTGGGGCCGGAGAAGACGGTGCCCGGCGAACTGGGCCTGGAGCTGGACCCGCGCGGTAACATCAAGGCCATCAACGGACAGTATGGCACCTCCAACTCGAAGGTCTTTGCGGCGGGCGGTAAGTTTTCGAAGCAATATGTTTTTTTTTAGGAAAAGTTAATGAATTGTAGAAAGTTCTTCATTTTAACTAAATGGATACAAAGTTCTTAAGTTCGTCAAAAAGTACATTGAATGTCTAAGACTTCTTCTCTTTTAAATTCTTGAAAAAAATTTAAATTTTCATTTTTATGTGATTTATTTTAAGATTTGTTAATCAACCAAAGAAAAACCTTTAAATTTAACTTAGCCAAATTTAGATATTTTACTCAACGTACCCAGAAATTCGTTAGGTGTTATAAGATATATAAATAAGTGAATAATAATGTATTAATTATTGTTTCTATAGTTTAACAGATTACATGGGTTTAATTCACAATTCACAATTTACATTTTCCATATTTCTTTTTCCAGATTGCCGGCGAGGCCAGTCGCTGGTCGTCTGGGCCATCACCGAGGGTCGCCAGGCCGCCCGGCAGGTGGATTCGTATCTGACCGGTCGTCCCAGTGGGCTGCCAGGACCCGGCGGCGTCATCGGGACATCCTAAGCAGGATCTGCAGCCGACAGACAGCCAGTGCAGCTATTATCAAGTTTTGTGTGCGTGCATCGTCCTTAGCCTAGAGCGAAATTCTTTACCGATTTGTGATTTTTATTTTCGCGATTTTAGTTTAGTTTACACTAAAAAAAAAGACTTGAGTTTTTTTACACACCAAACCAAAAAACAAAACGAAACACGTTTCATTTAGTTTTATTTTCATCGCAATGCTGGCTGGGAATTATTTGTGGTTCGTCGAGATGCCCTCCATAGGTGATGATAATGCTGCGGCAGGAGTCAATTAAGAGTGCAAAACAAAATGCTGATTAAAGCCAATCGAATACTTATATATCTTAGCGGAAATCGAATATCCAACAAAAAGATATAAGGACAATAACTAGAAATTTACCGTTATCGTTAAAAGCAAACAATTAATTGAACTTAAATATTTAGAAAATGCATTTTTTTCGATGTTGTTCTACTTGTGTTGCCTGTTCTCTGCAAAAAAAAAACAAAAACAAATATATGAAGTGAAAATTGATATGCTGATCTCCACCCTCCTATATACAATCTATCCATAAATCGTATATACAGACAGTGAAATGTATTAAACTCGGCCAATATCGAAACGCATTTTTTTAGATGTTGTTTGTGTGTTTTGAACTGCATTCGACCGTTAACCGCAGAAGTACCTAAGTGGCTATTGTTAAAACAAGATGTGCTCTTTGGCAGTTATATGTATGAATACGACAAAAATACACTATTTATACAAAAATATTTAACCCAACTGTATACCCTTATACATACATCTCTATATGAATATATTTATGTGCAAGCATTTGATGAAATAAATATTCAAACTATTACAAGGCACTTTATGGTTGTTTAACAATTTGGGAAAATTAAGTATTTATTTATTTAAACGTATCATAAAAAAATGTTTAAAAAACTTTTTTACGATAAGTAAAAGCTTATTTTAGTTTTACAATAAGTTTAATCATTTGGGTAGCGTCTTTTTTTCAACAAACTTTAAGTTGAACTAAAATTAATAATTAAATATAATTATATAAAACTTAAGAATTTCTTTCATTTTTTAATTTATTTTGATAAAAAATATTTTCGATTTTATAAATTGTCAATTGAATTGTTAGTAATAGCTGGAATTCTTAATCTTTCCCTCAGTCAAAAAAATAATGATTAAAAAAAGTCTTCAAATATGAAGTTGAAAAATAATTTGATATAAGCCATTATAGTCAATTTCTCAGTCTTTTGTATAATTAATTTTTCTTACAATACATTTTTCCTAGTATAAGTTTCCTTAATATCTGACTTTTTTAAATATCGCGCCTAAATCAAAAAATACCATATTTAGTTTCTTGAAAGTTTTGGTTTGCGCGCGCTTCCACCCCTTGGCAACACTGAACGGGCGTCACTCTTTTCGCCCCTGGGCACACTGTTTGCCTTTCGCACGCGTATTTTTCTGCCGATTTTGCGTGTAAATTTTTTGTGAAAACGTAGTTAAAACGCAGAAACCATGGCCAATTTCGATCTGACACGCATCAACTGTCAATATTTGGACAGGCATTTGACCTTCCCGCTGCTGGAGTTCTTGTGCGGCAAGGAGGTTAGAAAATCAACCAGTCGGTGCTCCGCCAGGCGGTTTGCCGTGTCACCAGTATTCCATAATGTGCAATCTAAATATGTGTGACTTCCGTTGCAGATCTACAACCAGCAGGAGCTGCTGGAGTACATCCTGGAGACGGTCAACAAGACGAACATGATCGATTACACGATGGACACCCGCAAGCGTCTCAATCTCAGCCAGGAGATGCCTGAGGAGCTTGTGCAGCGCAAGGCGGAGGTCCTGGCCACCCTCAAGCAGCTGCAGAACGAGGTGGCGCCCATCATGAAGGCCACCGACATCCTCAAGAATGGTGAGAGCATGAAGGACTCCAAGACCTTCGTCAACGCCCTGCAAAAGGACTACAACTTCAAGGTTGAGCACCTGGAGAGCGCCTACAAGCTGGCCAAGTACCTCTACGAGTGCGGTAACTACCAGGAGTCCACCTCGTACCTCTACTTCTGCCTGATCGTCATGTCGCCCAACGACAAGGTATGCATTGATGACCATAAACTCTTAATTTCAATATTTAAGATTTCTAATACATACTTTAAATATGATTCCTTCAGAACTACCTCAATGTACTATGGGGTAAGCTGGCTGCTGAGATCCTGACCCTCAACTGGAACACCGCCTTGGAGGATCTGACGCGTCTGCGTGATTACATCGACAGCGCAAACTTCAGCACCATTCAGGCTCTGCAGCAGCGCACCTGGCTGATCCACTGGTCGGTGCTGGTCTTCTTCAATCACCCCAAGGGACGCGATCTCATCATCGAGATGTTCCTGTACAAACCCCTGTATTTGAATGCCATCCAGACGATGTGCCCGCACATCATGCGCTACTTGGCGACCGCCGTGGTGATCAATCGTACCCGTCGCAACGCTCTGAAGGATTTGATCAAGGTTATCCAGCAGGAGTCGTACACGTACCGCGATCCCATCACCGAGTTCTTGGAGTGCCTGTACGTGAACTTTGACTTCGAGGGAGCCCGTTTGAAGCTGCACGAGTGCCAAACGGTGATCATCAACGACTTCTTCATCGTGGCCTGCCTGAATGAGTTCGTGGAGGATGCTCGTTTGATGATCTTCGAGACGTTCTGTCGCATCCACCAGTGCATCACCATCAGCATGCTGGCCGATAAGCTGAACATGAAGCCAAATGAGGCCGAGTGCTGGATCGTCAACCTCATCCGCAATGCCCGGCTGAATGCCAAGATCGATTCGAAACTGGGCCATGTGGTGATGGGCACCCAGCCGCTGAGTCCGTACCAACAGCTGGTGGAGAAGATCGACTCCCTGTCCATGCGGTCGGAGCATTTGGCCGGTTTGATTGAGCGCAAGAGCAAGCAGAAGCAGAACCAGGAATCAGTCGACTCCTGGAAGTACTACTAGATTGCTGACATTTTTAAAACCCCAACTAAGTTAAGACACTTTGTACCCTTTAAATACCGATGATTGCGCGCAGTCGAGCGAATAAACCAACATCACACCCGTTCGCTCAATTCAACATATGATTTTATTTCCATTGGAAAATCAATTTCAGTTATATAAAAAAACAATACCAAGGCGGGAATTTTCAATTACGCTAGCCTACAGAATGCAAACGTCTCATAGTCCTAGAATTAGTTTCTTGTACCTAAGGGTTGGCGCTGGATCCGGATGAGGATCTAGCTCCGGATCACACAGTTAATTGCTACCTCGCCTTCTGCTTGACCACCTTCCAAGATCGCACGGGCAGGTCCTGCAGATAGACAATCCACTTGTGCACCACCAGTAGCCAAACAACACCATAAACCACACAGAAGCCCGACTCCAGATAGTATCCATCGAAGGTTATCTCACACTTTCCCTCCGAAGCTTCGCAGCTCTAAAAGAAGTAATAAGAATTGATAACAAACAGCTTAAATATTTTTAGCTTTTCAGAAAGCACTCACCTGTTGCTCCCCTTTCCCTAGGCAGGTGTTCTCCGGATCTGTGGAGCATTGCTTCCAGGTGAGCACGTCCACCAGCCACAGAAGTACGGTGTTGGGCCAATTGCCGCCCAGATTGCACAGCGTATTCAAGAAAGTCATGTAGGTGCCACCCACCGCCGGGTCGGAGATCTTTGCGAAGAAGGCCATGGCGGCCACAAACATGGAGTAGAGAAATACCTGATATATGGCATAAGTGGTGACCAGCAAGACATAGTAATAAGTCGGCACAACTCCTCCCCGGATGATATAGGGGGTGACATAGGCCAATCCAGTGGCCACCGTGGCCATGACACTGCGATAGGGAATAGCTTTCAGATAAACGTCCATTGGACGCGGTCCATTGGTATAGCGACCCACCGCCAGCGGCAGGATAAGCTGCAGGGGAATGAGGGGAATCGCCAGCAAGGCCAGCTTGTCCTTGGGCACACCAGCATCGATTAACTTCAGGCTGGTCACAGCATCCGTGGCGGCGAAAGAGACCTTTACGGTGAGCAGGATTACAGCGAGGATCTGGACGGGACGCATGCACACCATGTCCCACAGGATCTTGTAGCTCTGATGAATGTTCAGCTCGTGTTCCTCCGTGTAGCGTGCCTCCATGTGGTCGTCCTCGATGTCGTTCTCCTTCTTGAAAATTGCCACCAAAGTAGTGGCAACCACAAAGGTGATGCCCCAGAACCAAAGGAACCGCGGTAGTGTTATCATGCCCTCCTCCGAAGGAACATCCCTCAGATAGGTATTACAGAATTCCTTGGACTCCATCGCAATGAACACCACATAGCCCAGGAAATAGCCAGCAGTTTGGCCAATACTATTGCACGTTGAGGCATAGCCCACGTTGCACCTTTTCAGCATGGTTAGGGCCCAGCCATCCACAGCGATGTCCTGTGTGGCGGCCAGGAAGTTCAGGAGGAAGAAGAGCAGCGTCAGCAGCGGGACATTGGGGTCTACGCCATTCCCGCCAAGCCAGCGATCCACATTAAGCGAAAGGAGCAGCATAAAGGCGCCCAGAAGGTACTGCACTGGGACCAGCCAGGACTTCCTTCGACCAAATCGCCGGATGTACAGAGAGTCGACAATGGGAGCCCAAAGCAGCTTAAGGCTAAATGGCCAGTAGGCGAAGGAGAACTCCGCTTGCTGTTTGTAGCTGGCTCCCCGATTCTGCAGCAGCATGGGAATAGCTGATATCAGGCCAATGGGAATACCCTGAAGCACATACAGGAATAACAGGATGGCTATATTACGCCGATCTCCAGTAAGATCCGGGATTGGTTCCTCCTTCTCCTTCTCCAACTTTTTTTGCTCCTCGATGAGCAACTCCTGGTCGGCATTGCTGCTCGTTGGCTTCCTCCTTATGGCTGACATGCTGGTAATGGATTAGGCGGTTTGTATTATGTACACTTTGTATTTAGAGGCCACAGGCTCACCTGTTTTTCTAATCAACAACAAATGTCCCAGGTCCACGTCACTCAAGTGTCGATTTTTTTCTGAATTTCACCAGGCTCTCCTCTTGCTGCCTTTAATTTTGTGTATTAACCGGTTAAAATTGGGTTTAATTTTGTGTCAGTGATATTTTTTTTAAAATCATAATTCGTCAAATCGTAATATTTTCTTTCGTGGCATATGTTTGTTGACGTTCCAATAATTTTTATAGCAACTTGTGATAGCTCTTCGCATGCACTTGCTATAAACGACACGGGAACGGTCACACTAAACACTCGAAGTTTAAACTTGGTGGCGGGAGGTTTACGAACTTTTAATCCCTTCTGGAAGCATGAGTTCGCTATAATTAGCACCACTTTGATAAGGCAAACCAAACAGTATACGTATATACATAGGTATATATGTATGTACATATGCATCTTTGGGTGAAAGTTAAATATAACATCGTGAAATGAAACCGGAGTAAAATATTATCTATGACCTTTCTCAACTTAGATTTTCTTTTTACTAAATCAAATACATTGTCTCAGTTTTATTAAACTAAAATAAATTAATGCTCCCGATTGTATTTCGTACCCCTCCATTGCGTTCATGATTACACATTAAATTTGCCGCCGTTGTGCAAATAAAAAAAATACCCATCGGCATGAGATAATATTCAACGCCCCCTCCACTCCACAGAAATCACATACATAATTGTTTTGCAGCTTTTGTTTTAATAATAAATTGAAGTACTGAGAGCAATTTGCTTGGCGAACACATTCACATGCTTCGTTATAATTAAAAGTAATTACTGATACAAGCTCCACATCTTTGGGCGCAGCGCAGCGCTACTGGCTTCTCGAATAAAATTTCAATTTCCAAATACATACGTTTTAAATAATACACTCGAAACTGGTTTTCTGTTGCTCTTCGCTCTTCCAGAGGAGAAGGCAATATTTGTGACTGTGTGTTTGTTTGACTTTCATAGCTTAGCTTAAATTCTAATTAAGTGTTCAATTGAAACTCTGTTGATGCTGCTCGCTGGCTGGCTGGATGGCAGGCCTGTTGTTCTATTCTATACTATTCCGTTCTTGTCTGGTTTCGGGCTTTTTCCTGGCTGCTTCGCTCGCTATGCTTTTATTTACGTTCATGGTTATTGTTCTGTTTGGGGTTTCCATTTCGCTCATCTCGGGTGGCGTGCTCTAGCTCAATTAATTTTCTTGGAAGGCCGTTCGGCTTTTAACAGCTCACTTTTCCGCTCCCGCATTTCCTGGAAAAGCTTTACTTGGCCGGCGAGGAGCCGCTAAAGAATGGCTCCTCCCACTTGTGGTGCACCTCGGGCGTCAGGTTGCTAATCTGCACGTGCACCGCCTGGTGTTTCTCGTACTTGGGTGGAATGGCGCACAGGCGATATTTGACCTCGTCCCCGGGCATGGGCACATATTCACCTTCGATGCTGTGAAAAGATTATATTTTTGTAGGTTTTAAAAACGCCAGCACAAGCACAACGGTTGTGCATGCATTATTCATACACTTACTCGGAAACATGGCAGAAAACGTCCTCTCCGCCGGCGTGGGGTGTAATGAAGCCGTGTCCTTTGGTGCGGCTGAAGGATTTCACAACGCCGGTCACAACCGGATTCTCCAAGGCCCGAGCGGAGCTACATTTTTTTTTACAATTTTTTTTTTTTTTTTGCGTTTGCGCGTGTTTGGGTTTTGGCAGCGTTTGGTAAAAAGGGAAAGGGAAAAGCAGGAAGAGACAATTAAATCAATGGCAGATTAAGGCACGGGGCAAAGGCAGAAATGGAGTATGGAGATTATAACGAGCACCCAAGAGCTTATAACGTTGCTAACGCCTTATCCTTAGATGAACATGATTCTTCAACACCCACTTTTCTGACTGATTCCTGATGGCAATTATAAATTTCCCTAAGGATTGGATGAATGTACAAAGGTTGTAAATGATTTTAAAATACACTTACGAAAATAGTAAATCTAAAAAATCATATTTGCAAGGCATGGTTATTGACTATTTTCTTCTACTGTTAATGAGCTTTTATAATGTGAAGATATTTACTTTATGGACTGCAACAATTTTGTTTCTCAAAACAAATTTTTGCCAATAATAAAGAAACTCAATTGTTTAAACAAAAATATACGTTTTATCAAACATTTTAAACAAGTGAATCACTTTATCACATTAAAAAAAAATAACCCTATCAAGTGTTTACTCAGTCGTTGTTAAACAATCTATAATTTTGGGCTCACTGGGGCCGTGGAACCCCCAACTCAATGCCTTTGTGGAAGGTTGTTGTTTTAAGGGTCGAGAGTAGGGGAGGTAAGCTGGCAGCTGGGAGGCGGCAGGTGGGTGGTTGGGCGATTGGACTGAAGGACTTACGTCGAGGCCGTGCGTGTGCGCCGCGTGATAATGGGACTGGGCAGCTGCAGCGAGGCATTGGGACTATGGCTGTTGTGGTGAAACACCGGCGGCTTGGCGGTCAGCAGCTTCTCTGGTGTCCTTGGCTCGGCCATGGCTCTACTCTCCTTTAGCTTTCCGCGTTCAAGGTTTTTCCGCTTTCTCCTCTGTTTTTTCCTCTTCGGTTAGCAGAAGCGGCTTTTGCGCGTGTGGGTCGCTGTGTGCGTGCTTGTATATATATATATTTGTAAGTGGGTGAGTGGACGGCAGCCAAGTCTGTAGAGTTCAAGGCCACGGGGGCCGGGTTAGTCAGCCAGTAAATTGCGCTGCACTAATTTCACCTGTACTTACTAGCTTGCCGTAAACTTCAGGCCCTATTTTTTAGCACCCAAAATTTAAGCTTTTTGGCTCCGCTTTTTTTTTTGACACCCGCACACTGATGCAATTCCCTGCCGCTCTGGGAAATGCCGGTTGGTGAATTTTCTTTTTACCCTCTAATTGCAGTTTGTTGAGTATGGTTGATTTATTATAACTTTGTCGATTTTATACAGCTATTTGCTTGAGTTTTATCCCGGTTTAATGCACGCTTTCCTAAGGAATTTACTTTTTCAACGGCGAATGGCGGCGGAGGCGTCAAGGCGATTTGGTGTGACCATTTCTAGTTTGGTAGGGAAACCTAAGAGCCATCGCGAAAATATTTGGTTATCGATGTTTATAGTAACTTTAAATACAAAATAAGGGTAAAATTGCACTTTAGGTGCTTTTGCTAAATATGGGTTAGGATTTATTTTAGGCCCCTGGGGCCCAAACATTAATGAAAAAAGTGCCCGAAATCGTGATTTTGGTAAAATTGTGCTTTATGGTCTTTTGTTAAAAATGGGCAAGGAATTTTTTTTCTTTTTAAGAGCTACCTTGGGACCTGTACATTAATTAAAAAGTGAAGAATAGTGTGATTTCTAATTATTTATTTCTAAAAAAACAAAGTCCCTAAAAAGCAATTAAACCCATTTTTTCTTTAAGAAAAGGCGAAGGATTTCGCTGAAAGTCATGTTAATTTACAAGAATTTTTCATTATAATTGTTTTTTGAATATGTTTTCAAGTTCATATGCAGGCTTCAACAATCGATAGTTTGTTTTTGTAGTTTTTGCCACCACTCACAACACGCAATTCGATTTTGTCCACCCCTAGATTGAAATTTAGCGTCTGTCAAGAACTACAAAAAACATATAAAAACCAGAGTCTTCCACGCCATTTACAAAAAATATGCAATACATACATGCATACGACATGGTAACATAAACCTCACAAAAATCCCAGTGATCTTTGTTTTTTACTTCACGATTCATTAACTAAACGATAGATGAGTGAGAGCGAAGAGGACCCCGAAGTGGAGGATTCCTTTATCGATGAAGATTATGGTGATCTGGGGATTGAAGGTCTTGAAACGGATAGTACCGAGGAAACAGACTCAGAGCCTGTTAGGGGGCGACGGGCCAGGCGACTTACAAGAAGAGTCAACCGCGCTCTCGTCCCTAGAGATTATTTAGTTCAGGACCCCCAGCTGCCACCGATTGGAAATCAAGAACAACCTCAGCAACAAGCTGATGAGGATTCTCAGGTTGTGCCAGATGAAATCAGAGAGCCTGGCCTTAATCAGGAGGCTCAGGCGCAGCCGCAGCCCACAGAAGAGGATGAAGAACACCCTCCAATCCTCGTAGATCCTGGACCTATGCCCAGTCTGCCGAGTACTTCTCGGCGAGCCCAAGCCGAGGAACCCGCTGTAATCAGTCTGGATACACCGTCACCACCCAAAAAAAGAAAGCGTCTCTCCACCTCTTCTGATAAAAGTCTAAAAAAAATCTCCCGAGAGTAAACCTGTAATATCTGACGACGAAGACAATGGAATGACATGTCCAATTTGCCTTGATTCCTGGGAGATGAGTGGGGACCATCGACTGGTGTCTCTGCGCTGTGGACACCTCTTTGGGGAAGCCTGCATTCGGCGATGGTTAAACGAGAGCCAACGTCAGTCCTCTGTGAAAGTGTGTCCCCAGTGCAAAACAAAGGCGACATTTAAGGACATTCGCCACCTATACGCCAAGCGAATCCAGATGCTGGACACGGATTTGAAGGAGCAACTGGAAGCGGAGCGCCGCCGCAATCAGGCCTTGTCCTTAGAACTGAACGCAAAAAAACTGGCCCATCATCTAACCAGCGAGAAGCTCTTGCTCGTGCAGAAGGACTGCGATCGTTTAAGAGAACTGCTGAGGGCCGGAGGTAGTTTAGGAGCCTTTGGAGGCGATGCAGCGGGCAGTGGTGGTCAGAAGAGCCTTAGCCAGCTAACCTCACATCGTTTGTATATGGAGAAGAACTTTGAGATCACCCGAGAGCCCGGTTGCCGAGTGATGCTCTATTCCGCCCGGCAATCTATGCTCGTGGCCTCACAGAAGAGCGCCCAGAATTTGTTTCCTGGATTCGGAGTGCGCTTCATCGATCCAGTTAGCTTTAAGCCACTCACCTTCCTGCACACTTCGGCGCTTCTGGTCAGAGATATTGCGTTTAGTGAGTCCCAGCGCCTGTTAACGGTGGCCAGTAGAGAGCCCAAGATCAAGACCTTCGACATAAGGACGCGACTTTGCTCGTCCATGTTCACGGCGCACGACAAGATGCTCTGGTCCTGCGCCTTGGATCGCAACGAGCGCGAGCACTTTATCTACGGTGGGGATCTGCGAGGAGGAGTTTACATATATGATATGCGGTTCCCCGAGAATATACTCAGAGAGTTCCAAGCCGAAGGTGAGTGAAGCTGGTGATGCAAACGATACTCCTTAATAACCCAAATTAATCTTTTTCAGAGAACTTTAGTCCTGTGATACACATAGTTCCGGTGCCACCAAATAAGACTTTTACTAGCGGCGGCTTTTTGGTCTGCCAACTGACGGCCCTCACCTTCTACGAGTACGAGTCCTCCAGTGATACGGCTGTGCCTACTCGTCTGAATGTGGAGGGACCTTTCCTATCCATGCAATACGATCCAGTGCAGGATTCGGTGCTCCTAGCAGCGCGATCCAATAGTAACTCACCCCAGTCGCGTTTTATACTTGGAAGACTTGACAAGATCGACAATACTCCATTGCTAAGGGTGAAGGCCACCATTTTTGGCTCGAAAGCGACTCCGATTATGACGCGACCTGCTCAACTTGGAGTGGAGGATAACACCCTGGTGCTGGGCTATCTGCAGGACAGCAAGCAGCTGATGATGCACGACGTGCGGCGGGAAGAGCGTGTGCAAACGATGCCCGTCAACGAGGTGATCTACGACATCTGCCCGGTGGCCACCCAGGCGGGATCCTATTTGGCCGCCCTCGCCGACAACAAATGTCGCGTGTACAAGTTGATAAGCAAGTGATGTTTAGCATGTGCATTCACTATACCCAAAGATGTATTTAGGTTTAGCTGATTTCCTCAAATTGAGAGACTGCTAACGAAAGATTAAGACAAACCTTTTACCTTAAGTTATTAGTTAAGTTTAATTGTTAGTTGTATTTTTCATTTTTTCCATTTATTAAACATTTGTCAACCTTACGGTTTGCGTACAAGATTGCTCTGAACATAAATCTATATTCTGTACTCTGTGTCCTGTTTTTGATTCTTGATTTCAATTTTTGAATGCTCTTAGTCTGCTGTGGATAAGTCTTGTATAAAACACAATAGAAAATGTTGGTTCGGTTAATAATATACATATAAAGCTATACAAAAATGTGTTATCCATACAATATCAGATTTATATATATATGCGTATTTATAGATAATCCTAAGTGAATTGTGGAAATGAACGAATGATTAAATAGATGTTTCTAAATTCATTCCTGACAGTCTCGAAATGTTTGCAACATTTTCAACGTTTGGAAAAGTCCTTCGATCTCAAACTTGCAGCGAGTTTTGAGCGAACCACACCATCTAGGATGGTGAACCATCCTGTCCAGCGTCGGCACACCCAACTAAATCTAAATGAATTCGGTTTGCTTCTCGTGAGTCTTGGCCTTTGTAAAGTTGTATCAAAAAGTTTCGTCGTTGGTCGTTTGCGGTTTTCTGCTTTCTCTTTTTGGTAAATCAAAAACCTCTGTGGCGTTTACTCCTACATAGTTGTATATTGTTTATGGTAGAGTATATAGATAGTGTGTTGAGTAGTTGAAAGACGCAGATCTATACTTTTCAAGTATAATATTGTATGTTTTGTGATGTTTTATTTGTGTTTTTGCTTTTCGTGTATGTGTGTGTTTTGTGTTCGTTAAAGTTAAGATTAGAGAGATGGAGTCATTGTAACTTAAAAGACTTTAAACTTAAACTGTACGAGAACTAAATATACAGTTGTCCGATAGACATATTTATATATATATATATAAACACTAGATTCACTTAGGCTAAACTAAACTCGACACAAAGTCAGGAAAACGAAGCTTTGAATTCCGGCTCTCGATTTCTATTAAATTTAAGGGATTTGGATTTAATACAATTTAAATCCAAATGATCGAACTTTTACTTTTTTTTTGACAAGTTTTGATGTTGAATAAATGCATGTAGCTTTAAATTTAATAGAAATGGAAGCAGCGACAAAGCTGAATGAGATAAATCGATCCCCCAGGCGGCTAAAGTCAGGGGAGAAGTGTTGTTAGCTTGTGGGATTTTGGTTTGCTTAATCGACGCGCGCATATCGCGGCACTATATCCTTGCTGATCCAGTAATTGCAGAGCGAGTAGTCCTCCTGCGGCTGCGCATCCTGGCCGACATTGATCACACGACGGTCGTGGATGAACGATTGCACCGTGCCATGAGACACATAGTAGTAGAATAGCTGCTGCATGGCCGACACATAGCGGCGCTGCTCCACGGTGTGCGGCTCATAGCGACCCAGAATGGCCTGGACATCGGCGTCCACATTGGCCAGCTGGTCGACTCCCTCGCCCTGGGTGACCACATAGAATGGCACTGTCGGCTGCTGTCTCGCGATCGTCAGCAGCGGGCACACGCTGCGTATGTCCGAGATGATGGCCACGAGTGACGCATAGCTGCTGGCGTTGTACAACTCAATAACCTCGTCGGTGAGACCCAAAGCGCCAATCTGTGAGTTCTCCAGATAGGCACGCACCTCATCGCGCGTCCAGTTGGCGTGCAGCTCCCGCAGCTTCTCGGTGTGCGCCTCATGGGCCGTGGCGCCGATCACCAGCATTGGCTTCTCGCTGAGCTGCTCGCGTTTCCAGGTGTCCGAGGGATGTTCAAAGACCACGTCGCCGTCGAGAACCAACCACTCGTGACGGCTGCCGCTGGCATTCGCCTCCTGTGTCTGTGGCAGATCCACCGGGAAGTGCAGCCAGGTGTCGGGAGTGGCGGCCCACAGTCGCTCACTCGATGCATCGCGCAGGCACTCCACATCCGCGCACTCCAAAGTGGCCATCAGCTGCTCGTTGAGTTTGCTAGATTCGCCCAGGGGTTTTCCAGGAAGAATGGCCGATCCAGATGAGGCCCATGCCCTGGTGTAGAGACCCTTCACCTTCTGCGAGTTGACCAGCAGGGTCACCAAAGTGGCTCCAGCGCGATGACCCAGCAAAGTGACGGAGTTCGGATCGCCACCGAAGTTAACAATGTTCAGCTTGATCCAGTTCAAAACAGCCACGAGATCGGTGAGTGCATAGTTGCCAGACGTGGGCGGATGTGCCTCCTTGGTCAGAGCATCCAGAGCAAGGAAACCGAAGACACCCAAGCGGAAATTGGGACGCACAAAGATCACGTCGTGCGATCGCGAATAGCGAGCCGATGGACGCAAGATGCCCGGCGAGGGACCAGCCAAGGATTCAGCGCCAATCAGGACCACCACTGGCAGTGGGTTGTTGTAGCGCACATGCGGGGTGACCACGTCCAAGTAGAGGCAGTCCTCGTCGCCCACGGTGGTGCCGTTGCCCAATCTCTGGGTGCACACCACACTGCTGTTGTGCGTGGGCAGAGTATCATTCCAGCACATGTTGATGTCATCGATCAACTCCGCCGGCTTCCATCTCAGCCTGTCCACCGGTGGCTTCGCATACGGAATGCCACGGAAGGCGAAGGCTCCATCCTCCTTAACACCCTCCACGGGTCCGCAGCTCGTCACCGCCATGATGTAGCGTCCCTCCCGCAGCGGCGGCGATGTCAAAGTCTCGTGGGTCAGCACATAACCAATAACGGCCAAGAGGAGCACAAACAGCAGAATACCAAAGACGATGAGAGCATCATCCACACTGCACTTGTAGCCACGCAGGCGAGTCAACAGGGAGACGGGTCGGTTCTGCTCCTCCTCCTCGGCGGCCAGCTTCTCCTCCGCCGCCAGCTTTTCATCCTTGAGTTCGCCCTTCAGATCTTCGGTGCCATTGGTCTTGACGGGAGCGCGGTCAACGGTGTCCTGATCCTTGAGGGAGTCATCAAGTGTTTCCATGGAGGCCAGACCAGCTTTACCCAATCCCAACTCCACATCATCGCTGCTCTTCTTTTTCGGTATGATGTTGGCAATGGGCAGCTTGATGGCATTTAAGAGTCCTCGTTTTGGAGGAGCTTCGGCATCATCAGCGGGAGCAGCTTCAGCTGTCGCTTCTGCAAATTAAAATATGAATTAGTTTTAAATACATTTACTAAATATTAAAATCATAGAACAAGGAATGAAAGGAATTCCCTTTTACCTAAACATTTCTTGTATAATTTCAGGAATTATTTAATTACTCACCCGACTTGGCATCGGCATCTCCATTGACCAGTTGTTTCTTTTCCTTTTCGGCGGATGGCTTGCGGGCAAACAAGTTGCGCAGACGCTCCCCCAATCCCGGACGAGATTTCTGCTCATCCTTGCCAGCAGCGGCGGCGGCATCCCCATTGGCCTCCTTATCCTTATCCTCCTCCTTTTCGAGGAGCTCTCCTTCAGCACCATCGCCCTCGGCTTTCGGTTTGTTCTTCATGAAGAAACCGGGCAGCTTGAGACCTCCAATGGGAATCTTCTTGGGCTTGACCTCTCGCTCCTCTTTGCTGATCTTCTTGTCGTCGCCGCCCTCGGTTTTTGTGCCATTCTCGGCGGGAATATCGATGATCTCCTCACCGTTTCCCGGCTTGGATTTCTCTGGTTCGGCGCCATCGGTTTTCTTTTCCGGCACAGGTGTGGATGATGACTTCTTGCCGGCATTGGGAGATGATGGCTTGGAGGTCTGCGGACTGGGCGTCTTCTCCTTGCACTCCTCCTTCTTGTCCAGCATTTTGTCCGTTTCCTTGGGCTCGTCCAACGCCTCCTGCTGGGCGGCTGTCGTCTCAGTGGGCGGGGTTTCCTTCTCTTCGAGTTCGCCCATCTTGTGAATGCTTCAAGATCGTTTAGAGAACTCTACGAGGATTCTGGAAAATATAGAAAAAAATATATTTTCTTAGTTTTCGCTTCAGATTCTGAGAGTCCTTTGAAGGACAAACCTTGACTTAGTAGCAGAAATAACTAGGTTACACTTTGGCTCTGGTTTTTTTTTTGTGAAATACTATATTTTTTTAGGGATCTACGATCTAGGATCTATCACGATCGCTGGCTGAAATGCTTCTAGCTGGCGATTCCAGCTGCACACGATTTTTATGCTGACGCAAGGATCTAGCAGCTGATCCTGGCAAATGTCAGCGTGCCGGCTGTCCCGTTCTCATTTGTCCTTGCACAATTGCTCGAGGGTTTTCCTCTACCTCTCTCTGCTTTACTACCTGAGATCCTAGCCTGTAAAAATTCTACCTGGAAAATGCGATCCCGCTCAGGTAGACCGTGGAAAATTTGCTCGTATTTCCCCTTAACATATCCTAGCAGCATGGCGTTTTTTTTCGGGGCGGGAAGACCGCAAATATATTAGACCAGCTGCATACGAATAATTTGGTGATCCAATCCCCGTACCAGATCCCTTCCTTCTTAGACTTTTCTTTGCTGTCCCTATTTTTCCCTTTTTCTTTTCTTTTTTTTGGTACGTGCGCCTTGACGCTTTTCACGCGTCCCGAATTCCTCGAAAAAAATTTTAATTAGCGAAAAACTATAAAATCAACGTGGAAGCAGCCAAGGACATTCGCCGGGTCCTTTTGCATCATTATGTCTGAAACGCCGCTCGCAGCAGGAATGCAGTAGCAAATCACGTACAGACTAATTGACCGCACCAGAAACTGCCAGAAGTCATGAGAATTTTCTTTTTTTTAAAAACCCTACAGTTAACTTGCTTGACTTTTTTTTTACAAACTAGACATTATAATTGAATTAGGCGGGCGACCAGGGAAAAACGTGATCATTTAAAAGTGATTTAGGTTTTGGAAAGCAAAACAAAAAATAATTTAAATGAAGTTAAAAGAATGCCAGGATCATCAGGAAGTAAACTAAGGTCTGACAAAATCATAAAATTACTTTACTTTATTTACTTGTTCCAAAATGTATTTTATGTAATTAACTTTATGAGATTTTAAATAAGTTTTCTTACTCAAAATACTTTAAAAACTTGGATTTTTTTAAAATTATTCTTCTACTCTTCAGGCTTATGGGTTTGTTTATCAATTCTATGTCATCATTTCATTCATCATCTTCCATAATCTTCATTCATTCATAATCTTCCTTCCAGTTTTTATTGATTTGTCCCACTAAACTTAGATCCGAATCATCGGTTATTACTCCACTGATTGTCTAGTGAACTGTTTTCTCATTATTTCCCCATCGAGAGCATTACAAGTCCATTACTGGCACGCATGAAACCCAAACCAAAACCAAAACCAAAAGAGGCGACATGGTAGATATGGCGGAGGAAAAACGATGCCAAGTCGCGACCTCTGTCATGTAAATCAACCGAAATTCCATTAAAATGTGAACTTAAAGTTCAAATTGCGTTGCGTGACATAATCTGGCATCATTATCAGTTTATTCTCTAGTGTTTTCCCGCTTTCAAGCGATTTGGTCAACTGGAAGAGTGACACACTGCTGGAGGAGAAACACACACAAAATGAAAATGTGGAAAAATCGAAACCAACTCGACCACGTTGCGTATCGAAAGTGAAAAGAGTGTCACACATGGCTCTAGAAAATAAAATGAAAAGTGGGGGGAAAGAGTTGGGCTGAAACAACAAACACAAACACAAAACGCATTGCAATCCAATTGAATCGGATTTCAAAGTATTACCACGACTGGCGGGAAAGGGCGCAGATAAGTTGTCTGGCCGAAGTGTAGAAAAGTCATCGGGGGCCAGAGGCATAGAGGCTTCCTTGTTCTTCTTGCCACTGTCTACTATATAGTATGTGGTACTCGTACTATTCTCTTCTCTAAACAGAAGCGGGTCAAAGTAATTACAGTTCACTGGAAATGGAGTATCTTGGGGCAGTATCTCCAATGGGGATCTTTATTGTGCGCACTGAAGAAAGCTGCTGGCGTACTAAAAATCTTGACAGGTCTATAAAACCTAAGATTTGGTTTTGGGATGATTCTTGTAACAAATAATTAAATCTTTATTATCTTACTTTCCACTAAAATTCTTTATGGTGATGTCTTAAAAAGTTCAATTATAAAAAAAACAGTAGTTAAGCTGTGAAGCTTCAGAAAAAAAGAAGAACCAAAGAGTTGTTATGTTTAATTAAAGGCTTGTTTGTTGTAAAGATCATATGAATATTTTACTGTAACCCACTGTCCACGCAAGATAATGTCAAGTTACAAAAATAGCAAAAAACTCGACTATTATTTATAGGGCTATGCCAAGACACACATTCCTCACAACGATCGTTCTTAATTAGCTGAGAAATGTCGGAGGAAGTGTCGTTTTCAGCGGGGGTCAAACAAACACAGTTGACGCACCCAAAACGCAATGAAAAGCGCTAAAAAGGAAAATCGTTCCATGTCGTCAAGTCACGCAGTTCGTCGCTTTTCACGCACCATCCTCCCCTTTTCCCTTTTCCTTGACTCTTGGCGGCATACATGTGTGACTGGCCTGTAATTGGTCTTGCCTCGTAAATTAAATCAAATTCGAGACTTGCGTTCGACATGCAATTCGACTTCCTTTGCCATAGCCAAACCCCCCGCCCTGTTTCCTTTTTTATTATCCCTGAATTTTATTCCATTCTTTGTTTTTTTTAGTGCTACACATGGAAATTGCCGTTAAAACATAAAAAATTGACCACAACATGTTGAGGGATACGCCGAGAAAAAAAGTGTACAGTGGGATGCAAAAGAAAACTTCCACACAAAAAACATAATACAACTTGTTTCCTTAAAAACATTAATCAATACAATCAATTGTTTGTTTGATTTGTGTTTCGTAGATTGAGATGAACAAAAACATTTTCTGTTAGTTATTTTCTTTATTTGTATTTGCCAAAACGAAATAAATAAAAACATTGTATTTATACCAACATATGGGTTTTGCCCTCTTTTTCCACTGTTCTAAAAAGGTAGCTAGATTATCCTGCAACATGAGCAATCAAATAGCTACCCCAACTAACCACCAAAAACCCACTTAGATTCCAGCTTAAGCGCAACAAATAAATTCCGGTGAAATATCTCGTATCTCGGAACATGTCAAGAAACACTTTGAAATGCATAAAAATGCAATTGCTTTAGGCCATTTGTTCTCGAGGGAGTGAATAACATGGTCGAGTGGGATTGGGAGTTATATAGTAGAAGGGGAGATAACCCTCATGACAAGAGTGAGAAAGCGACAACTGGCGCAAAGTTTTGGGCACAAACTGCCGCCAAAGACGCAACCTGTGTCGCTGTTACCCAAACCTCTTTTTATACAGGGTACTTTGGAATTAAGCGGGTATCTTATCTTTATTATTAAAGATGTAATATATAATATAACAAATGTATTTAGTGATGTTATAAATTTTTCTGTTCGCTAATAGTAATCTATATTGAAGCTTTAAAACTTAGAAACTTAGAAGTATCTTCTTGCATCTAAATCTAAAAGAAATTACAGGATATTAAGTAGTCGCAACCCTGAGTTTAATCCGTCTCACTATGTTTTTGTTTTTTTTTTTTGCTCAACTAACGGCAGCGAAGCATGAAACGAAAACAGTGCAGGAGAAATGACAAAAGGAAGGGGAAGAATTAAAGGGAATGGAGTAGGGGGAAAACAGTAGTTGGGGGAGGAGTGTGGGAGGGTTAACCGATCTGCGTCCTGTTATTATAATTTATTTTCCTTCCTGTTGGGTACCTATCTCTATTACCCCTCTCTTTCGCACCCGTTTTGACTTGTGGCCATATAGAATTGCTGCCGCCCACCGCCAGATGGCGTCTCACACATTTATTGTGTGCGTGCAAACAGGCAGTAAAGTGTGTGAGCGAGATGCTAGAAGGTGGATAATAAAAAATAAAAAAGGACATACTATTTTGACATGCACTTTTCAGAGTGTTTTTCTTTGTGGGTGCTGTTTATGCCCAATTAAACAGGATATTTCAACAATTTCAGGACACCCACCAAACCGAACATTTAGATCTGCTGATAACAGGGGCGGACGCAGGGGGGGTGTTTGGGGGGTCCGGACCCCCCCCAAAATCACAGACTTTTTCAAATTCCCTTACAGCACACGGCCTTTCAACCATATAAACTAAAAATTTTTTTGACCGGACCCCCCCCAAACGAAAAAATTTTGCGACCGGACCCCCCCCAAATTTTTTTTCTGCGTCCGCCCCTGGCTGATAAGAAAAAGCGCTTAAGCCCTGCGCGAGTCTTGTTTATAATTATGTACGAGGAAATTTGTCTAGACAGACCGAATAACAAATATACAGTAATTGCAATGCAGTTTTGATAAGGGTACACAGAAAAAAATTTAACTACAGAAAACAAAAATGTTGTAGTTAAATTAAGTAACATAAAAGGAAAAATTCAAAGAAAAAACTATATTATTTTTTCGGTGTACTCATTTTCCCGTGTTTTAACCACCTGCAATCAACGTTTTAGAATCAATAGCCTCAGGCTTAATCATTTTTCAATTTGCGCCTCCAATTTCCATGACGGAAAGAAGGCAGACAACGAGGAAAATCGCAAACTTTGTAACAAAGTCAATTTGTCATCCGGACGCCATGCTAATGGACTCTGGCCGGGATTGGGTATCCAAACTAGCCTCCTTCTGGTTACAAAATCCCCCTGGGTCAATTTTAAATTAACTCCTAATATTCTGATCTAACGATTTATTATGCCGTGATGTGGATTTTGGTTCAAGTCGGTTAATTTCATGGCAATTTATTGAAGTTGGCCAAGTGGGAGAATGTAAAATGATGAGCCACACATTTGCCAGGCAATCAAAAGAAGGGTGATTAATGAATAGATCTGACACGTGTTCAAAAAAACAAAGCGGAAGGGGTTTTGGTAGCGAAGGGGGAGTTAAGTTCAGTCTAGCATGAGATACACTTAAAAAAGTTGAGAATAAAATTAGTATAGGTTACTTTTGAAGAATTTTATTGAGGCAGCAACCGAAACTAACGTATTTTGTAGAATTATTTCTGTGGATCATATCAAGGAAATTATTGATGTAATTGTATCACAAATAATAAAAATATTAAAGCTCTCAGATCATATATGTATAATTTTTTTTTTTGTAGTGCATAAGAGATGGGGAAACCAGAAACCGCAAAACCCAAAGGTATATGCACGTGCGACTGAATTCTCAGTGGTCTCCCCTCTTCGCGTTCTGATGGATAATAATCTCCGGGGGCAGGTAGAAAGCGGAAATTGGTAAACGAGCAAAGAGTCCAGAAAGTCCCAGAAACCTCAAAGGATCTTCGAAAGGCGCCTAGCTCTTGGTCGAGGGGATTGAAAAAAATTCGAGTTTGGAGTGGGAATGGCAAACGAAATTGGAATGAGATTTCCACTTCAAACAAGGCATCTTTATGAATATGTAATTACACTCGAGGGACAAACAACACTTGAAGATACTGAGGGAATAACCTTGAGTTGCGTTCGCTTTTCAAATGTTTGTCGATACCCTGTACTTCTTGAATTATCTGGGGTGTTCATATTGTTTAGTGTAGCATTCTAAAAGTTTTAAAAATAGCGATGAACGTCTGCCCATATTTTGTTAACATATATTTAAATTTTTTAAATGTTCCCTATCTACTTGTATACTTATTTTTGCTATTTAATTTCATTAAGGGTTTTTATACAACCATCGTGATACAGATCATCTCAAAGTCTCCACAAGATATGTACATACTACTTTTTTTTTATTTTTCTAACATATCCTTCTTTATTTATAGCACGTTTTCCTCTAGCACGATGTTCCTTTTTCAGTCAGATAAGCAAAGATTTCCACAGAGATAAGACCCTCACAGTTCACTGAAGCCAAACTCCTTGCAAGGCAATTGGAATTGTCAACAGAAAAAATATTTATGATTTTCGCCGGGGTTCCTCGTAACCCTCATTAGTCAATTGTCAGCAGCTCTTGAGGGGATCCGAGTTCTGAGATTGCATCCCAGCACTTGACTCTCAAGTTCTCAATGCTGATGGATTTACAATTTCCTAAATGAAAACTCCATTTTGGTTTAAACAGCTTGACCATGAACTCCACCGAAAAATATGGGGTTGTTTATCTTTGAGAGCAAGAAAAAGTGTTGAAATTGTGTTTTGGTATACTGTAGCAGTTTTCCTGTTGTGTTTTTCCCTAATTGTTGTTTACTTTTCAAGTGAAAGCGGCCAACTTCCACAAGAAACAACAATTTCCAATTGAAATGTAAAGAAGAGGAAAAACTTTTGATTACACACACATTTTGGGGGTAAAGTGAGAAAATGAGATACTGTGGCACACTCATCAACGTCATCATCATGGCTGTCGGCTTTTGTCTTTTGAAAACTTGGCAAGACAATGAGGGAAGTTGGAGTGAAAAGTCAAGGGGGAGTTGCCTCAATAAATCTCTTTCCGAATGCAAATGTTGCGTCAGCTTGCCATCTTCACTTTTTTCCTACCCTATTTTGTAAGTTTTGTGCCTCGGTTTTGTTTTGTTGATGTTTTTCTTACTTTTTAGTTGCCTGCCGATTCCCCGGAAGTCTTTTTCCAGAGCGAATCGAAAAGTAGCAGCTGCCAACTCGAACTTTCTTCGAAGATCCCGGAAACTTGTGATCTTTTCCCTGCGCCTATTAAATCATGATTGAATTATTGCTTATTTTCCCGGTATCCCCTCTATGATTTCCTTTCCATTTGTTTAGGGAATATCGCTTTTTGGGGATTTATTCTAGCTGGCGTCTGCCTCTGCATACAAATGATCCGAAAGGGTCGCCCTATTTTTGGAGCAACTCCATCCACAACTCCCCGAACGTTGATAGATTGAAATATCTGAGGATTAGCACACATTATGTTTATGAAATTTTCAAAAGGATTTGTCAGGGCTGTGATTTATATCAAATGGTTATGTTCCTCATCCGAAGCAGAGACGAATGCCATTAGAAAAGATGGGAAATGGGAATTAAAGAGGGGAAAGAGCTGTCTGATCATTGACACGAGCTATTAGACCCTCAAGAGGCATATGACGATGATGATGGGTGTGCGATGTTACGGAGGGATTATATCAATGAATCGTGAAGCGCCATTAATCTTATTAAGAGCTCGAAATAAAATGTTTTTCGGCAGACGCCATTTAAATTGTTTTGGTTGGATTTTTCTTTGATAGTTGTGTGTTGTCGGGGATTAAAATTTAATTAAATGGATAAAGGATTAATACACAGTTCCAAATATTCCTGAGTTGTAACAATCAAATTTTTGTTTAATTTTTTCACATTCAAATTTAGTTTTTTTTTTAGGTTTAATTGAAAAAAAACACATTTGTTTTGTTTGTGGCAATAAGTGTATAATATATAAAAAAAAATCGTAAGTCTTTAGTATACCTAAAAAATATTCACTTTTAATTCAAGAAAGCTATTTTGCTAATTTTATTGATTCCCAAATAATAATTTATAATTGAATGTTTTTAATTTAAAAGTTTACATTAATAAAAACGGGATGTCGAAAAAACAGTTCCTTTTTTCCACTTTTATAAATTCATTTAGAAGTGCTTGCTCTTTTTTTAATATGTATTACACTCACTTTGTTAATCAGTTTAATTAAGTTTTCAATTTGATGTATAGGGAAAACACCACTAAAACACCTCTCAGTTTAAAACTTCCTTAAGTATTACCCAAAACATTTGATATTTTCCTTGGCATATGGAAAATTAAATTATAAGTTCGACGTCTCTTTAAATTTTTTAACAATCCTATTGCACTTTGTTGAAATCCTTGGGGTCCTCAACCAAAGCACCAATTTCGATTCATACCTGATGTTCAGTGTGTCCGCGAGGTTGTTGAAATGTGGCAATTGGGAATAATCCTTCAGAGCGTGAAAACACCGGGGGGCATAAATGAATGCGAAGTCCTTCCTGCAGGACACTTAGGTGTGTATAACACGCGTACAGATTTTTTTGTTTGATTTATTGCGGTTATTTTTTCATCCACTCTCTCGACACAGAGCAAAACAAAATGCACAAAAATAGTTGCGTGGTTTTTTGATTTCGTGTTTGAACAGATAACTTGCACAAAGTATCATTCACAATAGGAATATAAAAAGAGATTCCTTGTTTGCGCCGATTTAGATTTTGTTTTCTTTTTGGTCGCGTTCGTTTGGCGAATGTGTGTGGGTGTTGCAGGATAGTGTGCGGCAAGGAAAACCGGAGCAGCGGAAAAAGCGTGCGGCGTCCAAAAGAGTTTTTTTCTATCTGACCATGTTGTGGAGTTCATTTAGCCAGTGGAAGAAGAGACGACTCGTGGTAGAAAGAGTATTGGGTGGTCTCGTCGGGTCCGTCAGTCCCAAAACCCAAGCCGGCACGACTGGCTAACAGATACTTAACATTGGACATCCCCAAACGGGTAAATGGAGGAGAGCAAAGCCCGAGAGAGCAACCCGGACGTTAACGGACTGAACCCGAACGATTTGGCAGAACCACTGGAAATGGAAGCCGCTCTCTTATTGTCAATGGAAAGAGGGGAGGGAAATATATGGCTGGCTTGAACAAAACAATATTTCCATCCAAACATTTTGTGTTCAGAAATAATTATATATTAACTGATTATTGCCAATAACCTTCTTGCATAGTTGGTTTTTATGCAGAAATATATATTTTAAAATCTTTTAATAAAGGTGATAATACATTTAAATCAAGGTGAACAGTAGTTTGCATATTTCCATCAGAAAACCAATTTAAGTTCGAGCTTACTAAGAATCGGACCACTGTGCAATGGAAGTCGTTCTCTGATTGTGCTAACGCTCTCTCTGTCTCTCGCTGAACAGCCGGCTTGGGGAGCGTACCCGCATGGGGGTGGCTGGAAATCAACAAACAAATTCTGGACTCTCTTCCATAGATGCTCTCTCTCACTGTCTCCGTGCATTGCTTTTTTCCTGTACAGTAAGTGCCAAATGTGCTATGGTGTTTTCAAAAGGGTATTGTAATTTTAAATATCATTCAAAACTTGTTTAATACTTTTAGGCGACCCTTGTTTTTGAATTATAAAATAAAGAGAGTATATATTTAACTCTAAGAATAGTTGTGCAATACCGGGATTATAAGAGGAACAACATATTGTTCATGAAATGCTGGGTTAAAAGACCTAAAAACGCAATGTTGTAGGTAATAAGTTACACTCCAATGACGATGAAGTAGAATAAGTTTTCTGAAAGGGTATCTTAAGATTCGCCCTACTAAGATAGTATTGATCCTTCCGGCTTTGTTGTCCTTTCATCAAAAGAAAGAAGGTAACAAAAGAAAACCGGCTGGACGAAGTTTGGTGATATAGGGGATTTTGGTTTGAGGTAATGTTTTGAGTTTGGTTTTGAAACTCGTTTTTGAATGCGCATAAATTGGCAAGTGTTGAAGCGCAGTTTATACCGTTGAGACATCTGGCATTCGTAGGGGAAATTCCAAGTCCTGATGCGTCATTACAGCACTAACCCTTGACAACCCCCTACCCAACACCCCTTTTGGCTTAAGGTTTCACATCCCTACCCCTGAGAAAATTCAGTTTTTTCGGGAACTAAACAAAATGTGATTTTTCACGTAAACTATTGCGTAATTATAACTGGGAAGTAATTTCCCTAGCTAGGTTTTGTTCTGTTAAGGACTGATGACTTTCCCTAATCTGAAACTATTAAAAAGTAATGTTTTTTCTAATCGAAGGACCTTCTCTATCGCATGACTTCTTTGGAAGGAGGTTCACTAGTAAGAACGACTACCACACCCACTATCCTTTATCTGCCTTGTACCTTCAGTTTTATTAACATGTCACTCACTTTAGTCACTTGACTCTGGGCGCTTTATTTTCCTGGATTATTCCGACAACTGAAACCTTATGTGTTATTTCTTTTTCTTATAATACAATGATGATTAATAAGTTAAGTTGTGTATTAAGTTCCCTAGGATTAAAATGTTATATATTAATATACAAATATATTAATGACCAGACAGGTGACATGGGACTGGCTACCGATGTAACTTAAAGGCCGAATCAATTGTTAGAAATAAAAAAAACCTTTAAAACTAGTTATAATTGATATAGCGTATAGGAACTATTTATATTTAGCTTGTGTCAGTTGAATGATTGGAGCAGAACCCATGACGACACGTGCTGGGAATGGATTAGTGGTCGTTTCTATATACAATATAATATTTTCCTTTCCCCGATCGCTGGTGTGTCCCCCTATCCTTACCCACATGTCAACAACTTTCACGCCCTCGAACTATGAGGGTTCCCTATTTAATTGTGGAGCTACTGAAGCATTTCATTAGACGTGATGTTAGGCGACATCTGCTACCGAAAAACCCGAACAAATGTCGTAGGAAACTACAAAAATGTGAAGGTAGATAGGCTCGGGTTACCCAAGAGTTTGACGCATGCCTGTCACGCAGGGGAAAAGGATCAAAAAATGATCGCAACGGATCGTTATCATCATGATTGCAAATGGGAACCACGGGGAAACCCGCAAAATGTGGGAAGGAAGTGGAGAACTGAACACATGTTCTCTTGTCTTGTTTTTATTTTCTGTGTGGGTTGCTCCTCCTCGGTTGGAATAATTAACAAGTTTAATTTAAATTTGAACCGGAAACGGCTGAAACCGAAAACGAAGTCTTCAAGAAGTTTGGGGGAGTTGTCTTAAAACCCAAACGATATGTAATTCAATCAAGCAATGATTCGGTTTCAATATGCCCAGTTAAACCCCCGAAAAGCCGCTTAATGTTTGAGCTCAATTATATGGCTTTTTGTGTGTGGGGTGGTTGCTTATTGTCCCCCCACCCACCCACTCTCCAACCCATAAACGCCTCAAAGTCGACTACAAAACAGCGAACAAGGAAGTTGCACATAAAATTCGACTTGTTTTAGCCCCGTTGCAAATTATGTTCGGACATAAAAACAAAAAAAAAAAAAACGTAACTTTTGTGAACTACCCACTACTACTCAACCACTTTGCACCACCCACTTGGTCTGAGGGCAACCACAAAAGTTACTGTTTTATTTACCCAACGAACCCCGCAAAAGGCGAGGCAGGGTTTTCTTTTTTTTTTTTCTTTTGAGGATGAGGATTGGGTTTTTTGGATGCGGCAAATGCGGCACATGAACAACAACAGGCGCAGCAAGTGTTAAGGTGGTGTTGCGGCGCCCCTTAATGGAATCAGTCCCCCAGACTCGTCTCGCCTCCTTAGATAAAACATGAAACGCTTTTAAGTGTTCCTCGCAGCTGAGGTTAAACACCTCAGAGCCGACTTCGCTGCACGTCTAGAAAAAAAATGGTTTGGAGTGGTTGGGGTTCTCAATTGTTCAGGGTTTTCCCTCTGCAACATTGTATGCACAACTTCGATGTGGGCTGATCAAATTAAGTCAAAGGTGGAGATCGGGACCGAGTTATGATTAAGGTTCGGAAAGTGATTGGGTTCAAGGTTCAAGCAGATCATGTAGGTAGCTTTGATTGAATCTTCATTAAACAACTCGGAATGGAACTGTTTCCATTTTGGCCAAATAAAAAAGGGAGAAAATTTAACAGATTTAACAAAAATTTATAAAATTATAGGGGAGAGTGGGGCATTGTCGTCACTTTTTTTTTAATTGCGTAATTTGTTGATAAAATAACTTATTTTTATCATGTAATATACATGGTTGGATTCGGAAAAGATCTGGCTATAAAATGCAGTAAGTATTTCGGACATCCTCTCACTTGTTTATTAATACGAAACTGTTATCTGAAAGAAGTCAAAATTGGAAAATTGAAAAATCGTGGGGCAAAGTCGTCACCCCCCTGGGGCAAAGTCGTCACATAGAATAATGAATGCAAATATAGGAACCCATGTGCACAAAACTATTTCAACTTGTCAAACACACATTTATTGATATTCATACATATAAAAAAGTGGAACACTATACCTATTTTTTGCAAAAATTTGACACATTCAGATCTAAGTGAAGGATAGAAAGCAAAAATCAGAATTTCTTAAAGATTTTTCTTTGGGCGACCTCTTTTTTAGAATTTTATTTTTTTTGAAGAACATTTTGGAGAAATTATATTTTATATTTAATACTTTACATAAACAATCACAAAACAATAATAAATTGATACGAGTTTGTATTTCAGTCTGAGATAATACAGTGACGACTTTGCCCCACCCGTTGAGTGACGACAATGCCCCACGCGACATTTTTTGATAAAAACATGAATAACAAATCGAAACTCGAATCAGGTGTTACACAACCTACCATCTCGTGTTCGCCAAACATTTCTCAACAATAATAACTCATCTTTATACTTCTTTGATCAAAAATGTACTTGGAAGAAAAAAAGTTCTGCGCCGGAGAAAAATTACTTTTGAGGCTCCGAAACACTTTCTGATGAATAAATAATTACACATAACCTATAATTCTCCCAAACTCCGTTGGTAATGTAGGAATAGTGCAATACACTTACGCTAAAAAAATTGGGTTGGTAGCCCTTATATTTTTTAAGATAATAGCGAGTGACGACTTTGCCCCACTGACGACATTACCCCACTCTCCCCTATATAAAACTTATTTTTCCGTTGGCAAATTGGAGTCCTCATAGATTGGAGAAAACGTGAAATGGTTCCAAAAGTATAAACAGGAAATTAAAACTCTTAAACTTTTAAATTTCCCTTAGGAGTTTTTCAAACGAAACTTTTCTCTAGTCTAGAAACGAAGTCCTTTTAGCATTTAAAGCGCCCCACAACTAAATTTTCTTCATTTTCCATCTGTTTTTTTGCCCCTGAACCATCAATTAAAGTACCAACTGGCCTTAAAATGACTAAAGTCTCCAAGGGTCAATGTGTCCCATTCACCGGGCAATCAAAACAGACCATTGATACTACTGAGCTGCTGTAACAATATGCTGTAACAATATGATTCCTACAGCCTCAAGAGGAAAATGTGCACAAAAGATGAAAACCGAAATGAACAAATAGGCATTGAAAACGAAAACAGAGTCTTCAGTAATCTTCAGTGACACAAAAAACACAAAAACACAAAAAGTGAAGCAGCAGCAGTATTCAAAAGGGAAAATTTACTTCGGGAAGAGACTGACTGTATGCGTGAGTCAAGTAAGTGGAAATAATCGCAGACAATAGAAGATACAGGGGAACTCCTCTCCTCTTATACTGCATCTGAATCTCCAGCCAGCTACTTCTCAGATACTTCTGCTGGCATCCGAAGTGCGAAGGCAAAGTGACAGTCCCAGGCTTCTTGAGCTGCAGAATGCATTAAGTCAGCGCTGCAGCCGAGTCGTTGCACTTTTTAAAGTGTCGCACTCTCCGCAGGAAAAGCACCCAATGAAAAGTGGACTGAGTTTGAGACTGGGACTGAGGCTGAGACAGAGACTTTCGTCTTCACTTGGAGGGCAGAAGTCGGATTAACTCTTAAAACTGTCAGGGTCACAGTGGCAGCATTAGCTAAATTATATATAAAATTATTTTTTAACGAATTTAATGTCTATTCCCCACGATAATACTTCTTAAGTGACTTTTCAAAAAGCAGGAGTGTTTTAAAATTAATCATTAATTTATGGTTCAATAAAGTATCTTAAACTGTACAGTAACTGTTAGGAATATAAAAAAGTATCTTCCTTATAACCCAATTCTTTGTAAATGCACACAATCACTATGGCTTATCTTCGGAAATATAGTTTACAATCCTTAAAACTAAAAGTAAACAATTTGCATCTCAGTTTAATCTTTTTAAATTAATTTTTTTTAAATAGTTCTTTGCAACAGAATTGTTTTTATTAGTTTATTAATTCTCAGGATTCTGCCGTTCATATTCGCTTATAAAATCCACTGTGCTGCAGTCTTTGAAATACGGGGAGTGTGACATTGACATGCTTGCAGCCGAAGAACCGCAGGCAGAAGCTCCAGTGGCAAAGACGAAGGCAGCTGCCCCCCCATAAAAAGCGGGGAGCAGAGCTCAATCCATGACTCGTGTGGGCGATGTTTGGTTTGGAAGGGGGGATTGGAGACTTTTGCTGGGGCCCTGTGGCCAAGCTCTATTAATATCCGACTTCCTACAATTTGGTGAACGCGTAAATTGTATGTGAAAGGAAAGTCGACTTTAATGCGTCATAATTGATGCACAATGCGGAGGGCAAAAGACGATGGCTTGATTTGATTAAAGCAGAATATAGCTCACGGATACAGATAGACTATACAGATATATATATATATAGATATACATGTGGTGTGTCTGCTGCTGCTGCTGCAAACTGAAACTGTGACTTACTGCCAAATTATTGATTTTCGTGGCATCTGCAGTGAGTGTCTGCCATTTTCAGTCATTTCAGTAAAATGTGTGTGGGTTGCTTCAGTGTGGGCGATTGACTTTGCCATCGCTTTCAAGGAAGCCCTTCAAAGTTCTTTTTGCCTTATTTTTGCCATCACAATTATCCGCTTAAAAAGCCAAAGCGGGCCAAAGCAGCACTGGGCAAAGTATCTTTAAGATGCATTTCGGTTTTGGGGAAAAGGAGAACGGGGAAACATAATTGAGCGCTGTCGCCGGGCAATCGAAAATAAATTTTCAATTTAACGCCCATCAACGATCCGACAGTTAGCCATCTACAATTGGTTTATCTCACAAATGCGAAGATGCTGCAGCGCTCTAATGAAGATGATGCCGCGCATTTTGTTGGCTGCACGGTTCGAAATTAAGACAAAGTCAATCGAGATGGACAAATGACCAGCGCGGATGGAAAAACTATCTGACGGATTCCCCGACAGCTGTCATTAGTTCATGAAAAGGGGGAAAAACAATAAAGATGAAGCGTGCCATTGAACTTTGTGGTCAAGCAGCAGATACTCTTGTATCTCAAAGATACTCCGGCATTGCGGCATGAATAATTATGTCGTTGCCAAAGAAGTTGACAGATTCAAAAACAAAAAGATACTTACGTGAGTTTTCCAATAAGTGTCTCTCGGTAATCACAGAGAAAAATTCAATTTGTACTTTGACAGATGCTTTTTGCCTCCTGCGGATACTTTTTGCCTTGAGTCTCGAGAGAAAATCAATTTTTAATTCGACAGCTGTCGCTGGAAATTGATCTGCTGCCGCAGCGAAAGGCTGCAAAAGTATCTCGTGGATGCATATCTCTCCATAGCACTTTGATTAGAGCGAACTGAACCCAAGCCGAGTCATTCGTTTGATTGCCAACTCATATTTCCGAGTCTGGGGGAAAAAGGGATAAGCCCAGTTCCTTTTTTTTATCTTTTTTTCTTGGTTGGTGGTCCCCGCAAGTGTTTAATTAAAGTTCTTCTCGCTGCGTGGGTGGCTGCAGTTGCTTTTGTGATTTTTATTTATATTCCGATACTTATTTCACCCTGAGATCATTTCCTTTCTGGACCTTGGGAATCAGCTTCCATTTGGATTTACATTTAGTATCTGTTGGCGGATGTGCAGCGAGCTGGAGGGCATTTAAATGTTAATTTTGTTTGGTAACACGTGCACAAAAAAGTAACAAATAAAAGAAAAGAGGGTAACGAATTTAAGATACCCTTGAACATGTGGTCAAAGTCAAAATAAATTTTTTATAAATAATAAAAGGGATTGACATTTTTTAAATAAGTATTTGGGTTGTCAACAACATTATTTTCTTATTACACATTCTAATTTTTGTCCATCCCTATCAAGATCTTTATTGTATCAATTATAAGACCTTATCATATGAATTTTCCGCTGTGGATTCATGTGAATTCAATGCTATATACCCTTGAACTCCAATGGGTATAAAGACAATACCACCTGAGGCCGCCAAAGCTCAAAGACTCAAGTGTTGATGTCATTAGTGCTCTGTCGCCCAGGGGTCTCAGTTCCCAGTTCAAAATTGAGTTGGGGGAGTCGAATCCAGTTAAGTCAAGAAATAAAACCAAATGAAAAAAAAGGTCGGTGGGGGAAAGTAGATAAGGGAAGAGCGGGCGGGGCAATAGACATCCGTAGTAAGTGGCCAAGTTGATGACCGGAAACGGCAACAGTTACATGTGAAGAACACCTGAGGCTCGAAGTCGAAGCAAACGAAGAACGAACAACGAAGGTGGAAAAGCGGGAAATGTGCGGGAAAAGCGGTGGAAAATGTTACCTCTTCTAGCTCTTGGCGGAATTGATTGTCCACCCACACAATGCCACAATGCCACACGATTGACACAGCTGGGCACAGCTGCAGCTTTCAAATATGCCTCTCAAGTTCAGGGCGAAGAATTGGCAATTCAAGCGCAAAGCTGTCAACTTGGAAAGTAAAAGACGCTACAGATCCAACTGATTCGAGAAGGTTTCACCAGAAGACACTGGAAAATGTTTTAAGGGGTTTGCACAGGTATAAATTATCTATAGTTTATAAATTTATATACCAAAGATTACATAGAAATTGGATTGTGATTCAATTACATCTAAAAACAGAACCATTCGTATTAAATCTACAATTTCTTTCCTTCCAAATTTACCCTTAAACTTTATAGCAATTTTTTTTCCTGTGTAAGCAGGCTATTTTAGCAAATGGGCTAGCTGCATGCACAGATTTCTTTTAGTTTCGTTGCAAATCGCTGCAGATGCGGCGTTTAAAAATAGCCAACATGTCACCAGCCAAGCAATGAGCCCGGTAAAAAGCCAAAGGGACTGACTAACTGGGCGCAACTGCATCAATGCGGCAATGAAGCAGATCCAAAACCAAACTGACAGCCCAGAAAAAATAAAACAGCTGATTGGGGGAGCAAGAAATTACATTGCAAAATAATTAAATACCCTTAAAATACTTTCTTTAAATATAGATGGTCCTGAGAAAAGTAAAAAGAAATAATATTGCAAAAAAAAAAAACCTAACTCTTATCACCTCTAACATTTATACTACTAATTTTTTGTATATCTTGGTATAGGATTTTAAAATATTAGAAAAGTAAAGTATATTTAATGCCGTTGTATATCAAAAATCATATTAAATGATTATTGTATTTTTACTTCATTAAATGTACATTTTATGATATACTCCCCATATATTGCCAATTCAGTTGGAGTCGCTTTTGAACTTCCAGGTCGTGAATTTTCCGCTGCTGCTCCGCGGATTCCGCGATTCGCTTTGATAAAGCGCCCGATGAACGTTTTGGAGCACTGGATTCACTCCGGTCTCCATGTGGCGATGTTACCGATGTCTGGTGACAATTGGAGTGCAGGGAATGGGTTTCGCAGAGGGGGAGGATCTGCCAGAGAGGTGCGAGTAGGCGGTGGGCGGAGGGAGGGAGTGCCAGGGGGCGGGGCAGGTGGAAGGAGGAGAAGGAGGAGGAGGAGGAGGCGGGCTTGTCGTGTGCGTGATGCGCATGAGCGAAGCGTCATTGCGCCTTAAATGGGAGCAGCACAACTCGAAACTTGCAACGCGGCTTACAATTATGCATTGCAGCACACAGAAAAAATATATAAAATTATTAAAAGGTAATTTAATTTCTGAAATAAAAAAAATGACTTATTGAGGGATTTCTTAACTTTTTTACAATTTAAATAAAAAAGAAATATGTATAGGAAGAATTATGTACTTGGTAACCTATTCTATTTTTAAGCTTAAAATAAAATTTTAAATTGAAGAATTTGACTTTTAATATATAAATAAATGTTTACACTACAAACACAATAACTTCTTGATTTTGAATAGATATTAAATGAAAACATTAATTAATTGCAATATAAAATCTTTAAAAACGATCTTATAGTTAACTATCCTATATTTTTTTTCTCTGCAGTCACAGAAAATTGACTGGGAGGAGAATTCGCAATACAAAGTCAGCCAAAGAAGGCAGGAAAGTAGGACTTTGATCGCTTGCGATTTTTAGACATTTCTCATTGTGCTCATTGGCAGTTGTCTGTGCAGCGATGCGTTTATTAAACTCGGGGGTGCTCCATAGAATAGAGGAAGGGATTCCCTTTAACCCCCACTTCCCGTCTCCTCCCATCCCATCCATCTTTTCCCATTTTATTCCCAACCTCTTTTTGAGAATTTCACATTTGCGATGCCAAACTGAAATTGGCGATGCCTTTTTTGGTAGCTCTTTTTGGGGTCGCCCCTTCAGTCGACATTGACAGACCCATAATTCCTGAAAGGGGCCAGGTTTCCCCCATCAATACAAAGGGGGATCCCCTTTGCGAAACCCCTTTTTGGACGTTTCCTTTTGTGAATTATTGAAATTGCGCAGTTTTTTTTGCGATTGATCTCTGACTGAGTTGCAGTTGCATTTGCAGTCAGCCTGTTTTGCTTCTGTTTTCCTTTTTGTTGGTTTTATTGGCACTGCAGGGAGTCGGGATTCAGGGTCAGATTCGATGCCAGACGTTGCCGGCAATCAATCAATCAGAGAAATGGCCAAGATATCGTTGGGAGTCCCATCTCCTTTTTGCAATTGTTGGGAAAGCCAACCGAGAGACCTTATAGGAGAGGCAGAGATCGGGCAAAGGGATATTTAT